TTTTTTCACTTTAGTTCCCTCTCGGAAACATTTTGCTGATAACTTTTTTTTACGCCTAGCCTCTGTACGAGGTCAGCACACATATTCCACTTTAACAAATAGAAGGGTGACTTTTCTCCTGCGCTGAGTTTTTTTCTGGCTAAAAAACCTGCACTGCTCTCTGAACTTATTACATGTCTCATCTATTTCAGCCCTCAGGCATTTTGCTTGTGGTAGCTTTGAAATCTCATTGGCTCCCCGCGACGTTTTCCTGTATTCCAGTTGGCTGTTGTAATTTCTTTTTTTTTTTTTTTTTGGTTTTTTGACATCACTCCCATCAACTGAAAAGCATTTCATTTCCTATTCTCAGAATCCATTGTCCTTTACAGGAATTAAACAATTAAAAAAATGGCTAATCAAACATTTATTAAACTTTTGACCCTAAGAGTGACAAGCATCTAATTTCTCTGAAAATTTCACCCCTCGATCAAACATTAAGGTCACCCAAATCAAGTAATTGACCATTGACTAAAGCTCTGGATTGTTAAACCAATTCTCCTCCTCGGCTCCTTAGAAAACATGGAGAACAGTGTGGAGAATATACTTAGTAATTTATAGGGAGGAAAGGGTTTACTTGCAATTGACTGGCATCCCACCCAATGGGAGTTGGAGGCAGAGTACGGGAAGAATTACAAAGACATTTTAGCACAGAACAGCCTGAAAAATGTTTATCATCAATTTTAGCTGACAAAAATTAGAAATAAACTTATTAAGTAAAATGCTCACAGGAAATACAAGCATGGAAATATGCATGGAAAACATTTAACCCAAGCTTTTTACAAGGAGAGAAATATTGGGTTTAGTTATTTTGACTTATTATATCTTACACATTTACATACACACATACACGCATACACACATACACTTTATTGAGCATCCCTAAAAGGGGCTTTTCAGCATCAATATTAAAATAAAATTAAATAGATAAATGAATAAATTAATTACAGTATTAATTGATAAAAACTATGTAAAAGCTATTTAGAAGAATAACTAAATAAATCAATTAATTACATCACTAATTGATAAAAAACTATGTAAAATCTATCTGCAAGGATAACTAAATGATAACTATATACAATGATTATCATCTAACCTAGATGTTTCCATATCTTGTCTGCCTGTAGTGAATAGTAGCTCGACTTGAAAATTTGTCCGACAAGTAGCTAGGTGACAGTCCTTGAAGACATTTATGCATCATAACTGCATCATTGACCACAAGTCTTTGTTTGACGTTTAGCCATCGAAGTTATCTCAGGCCTGCAGAGATATGATCATATTTGCGAAGCCCTAAGATAATCCTGGCTGCAAAATTTTGCCGGAACAAGCTGGAGCTTATGGATGTTTATCGCCGAAGTGTTGCTCCAAACTGAGGAGTAGTCAAAAAGCCTGCTGGAAACAAAACTATTAAAAATCAACGAAAGCGTTTCCTTATCAAATAAATGCTTAATTCTATTGATCTGGATCAGTTTGTTGATACAACTAGCAACGGTTACCGTTTTACGTATGTGTTCCGGTAAACTATCCTTAAGTATTCTTGCTGGAATTTTGCTAAAGCCGGGTGCTTTGTTAGAAGGCAAAGCAGATTTCCCGTTTAACTTTCTGCCAAAAAATTTATATGCATTCCAGTGCAGCTTATCGTTTGTTTTCATCGCACTCATGTACCAGTTATCACGTGTTTTCATCAGCTGCATGATTTCTGGCGTGACAAACGGGTTTGGTTTCGCTTTCATTTATTCTCTTGATAGGAGCGTGTTCGTTGAGGACATCAAGAAACAGGATACTGTACACCTCCACTTGATCACCAATGATAAAAATATCCCGGCCACTTAAAAGAGAGTCGATAAAAACCCGAGTAAGGTTGTCAAGGAAATTCACGAGAGTGCTAGGAGGTCGAAAGACAGTATTTAGTAGAAACGATTTACAAGATCTCGTTTGTATTTTAAGCCATAATTGCTGAAAGCCATTGTTGGCCACTGAAGAAAGGCTTTCGACGTGCACCACTTTCAAAGTATCTCTCTAAAGGCCTATTTACACGGTACGACTTTGTCGCATGCGACAAGCTTACGACGGGCCTACGACACGAATTGTATCGTGTAAATCAAACCTACCACTCGCTTACGACTGTCGTGCACGTCACGAAAAATGTCTTAGGATTTTAAAACATGTTTTAAAACGCTGCGACAATCGTAGCCGAAATTGATAGAAAATGACGTATTTTGTGACAAATTTCTACTGAGTAGGGGAGGAAGGTGAAATTTCTTGCGTCAAAATGGCGGAGGAAGTCGCCTCCACTTCGAAGACTGCACCAATGAAAAATACATTCTCAGATGAGGAAACAGAGAATATGATATCACTGTGGAGCGAGGAAGAGGTTCTTTTCCTTCTCTTGCAAATTATTGAAACAATGACCGCGGCCGAAACGAGTGGAATTGCACGCGATTTTGGCATGTCGTAGGTGAAAATGTCGTGCGCGTGTATGTCCTAAGTCATGTCGTAGGCCTGTCGTAAGCTTGTCGCATGCGACAAAGTCGTACCGTGTAAATAGGCCTTAATAAACGCAAAGTCCACCACCCGCTTTGTGAGGACCACGACCTTGTCTAAATATTGTATATCCTGGTGTGTAAACAAAGGCGTCGGGAACCGAGGAATCCAGCCACGTTTCTGATATGGTAAAAATATCGAATCCATTCGATTGAATAGTATCTTTAATCAGAATGAAATTTTCTCTGAACTTCAAGGAACGCACATTAAGATGAGCAATTTTGATGTTTAAGTGAGCATCCCTTGGGAGGTAAATTTTGGAAGCCACAGTCCTTGCGGTCGGAGAGCCACGAAGCGCTGTCAAGTTTGGTCCGGGCTGTGGATGTATGTCACCACCAATTAATATTCTAATAACAGAAGGGTTGAAGGAAGTAGTCCCATTACAAAATTAAAGAAGACGTCTTCCCAAGAATCGAACCCAGACGAGTTGATAACATGCACTTGGTGAACCAAGATGGCGGACGAAAGCCAAACAACTGCGATGGCATAAGCTCGATGTACAGCTAAAAACAAACCATGGCTGCACACGAACAAATGCTCTAGCTTGGTAGTATCCATTGTGGTAAAAGTTGTGGTTATCAAGGCCCGCCTGACCAAATAAAAAGGTAAAAATCAGAGCAAAAGCCAGAGCGGTACAAACCGTGATCGGTCGCCATGACGAGCGCCTTCTAATACTACACCTGTAGTATTATTTCTTAAAAGTATAATAACTATGGTACAGTAATATTGGTAGAAAGCCTTTTCCCACATTTAGTCATAGCATTTTCAAAACGTTCTAAGAACCTACTTCTGTAGGTCCCATATACCCCTTTTACTCCCTGGATCGCAGTGTAAGTTCTCCTTACCATCCGCCATACATTTCTTTCAATGTTAGTTCGGAGAAGGTGTTATTAAATTGAAGTTTGCCTTATCATAAGTTTGATGATTTTCTCAACTCTCATGACCTTTTGGTTTATGGATTTATTATTTCTTTGAAGAAAAATTACTCATTTGATTTCTCTTTAGAGAGCAAAGGTGAAGAGGATAATGAAAGATCTTTTAGCATCCAAATTAAACCAGAATTGCTTCACCTAAGACTGGTCTATAAAACTCTAGACACCCTCTCAATATCAATCAAATGCAGTAGCTTAAAACTAATCAAGACTTGGTGGTGAGCATTTTCCTGCATATCGGCAGTTTTCATGTGTTCAATTTGAGAGTCCATTGCTGCTTTGGATTATTATCCTTTAGTCTGATAGGCCCCTGTGATAACCTTGTTGTTGGTTTTTATTTCTTTTAAGTAGAAGGCCCTCGATAAAATCTGGCTTTGTTTCGCAGCCGTTGATGTTTTCGTGTAAGCCTCATTAGGTTGCAGCACTAATAAAAACTTTTGTGAATAAAAACTTGATTATAAAGAGCCACTAGGCTGGAAGTTTCTCATGGCTGGCTTCTCGCAGAATAAAACACACATTGACCCTAAAGCTGTCCCAAACCCCCTTCCCTCCTCCCCTCCCCTCCTGAATCATGGCCCAATCGCTCTGACGAAGGGCTAACGCTCGAAACGTCAGCTTTCTTTTCCTTTACGTCTGTTATTTAAACGAAGGCCATAAGAGTTTCCCCGTACTCTGCAAACAACCCCCATTGGGTGGGATGCCAATCTATTGCAAGGTTAACCTTTCCGCCCTAAAATCAGTATGCATATTCTCCACACTGTATTGTAAATCGTTTCTACTAAATACTGTTCTCTATGTTTCCTAAGGAGCCGAGGAGAAGAATTAGTTTAACAATCCAGAGCTTTGGTCTGTGATCAATTCCTTGATTTGGGTGACCTTAATGTTTGATCCAGGGGTGATATTGTAAGAGAAATTAGATGCTCTGTCACTCCAAGGGGTCAAAAGTTTGATAGGTGTTTGTTTATCCGACTTTTTTAATTGTTTAATTCCTGTAGTGAACAATTGATTCTAAGAATAGTAAAGGAAAGGCTTTGAGCTTTTAAGTTGATGAGAGTGATATTAAAAACCAAAAGAAAAGAAATTATAACCACCAATTGGAATACAGAAAAACATCGCTCAGAGCCAATGAGATCTCAAAGCTACCTAAAGCTAACTGCCTGGGGGCTGAAATAGATGAGACATGTAGTTGGTTGAACTTACCAGCAAGCATATCAATAAGTTTGTTTTTTCTAAGTGAAAAGCCGTAAACAGTAAGCGAGTTGGACACCTCTGTTATCAGAATATTTGAATACTATTTAACATGCCGTTTTACATTATAGAATGTTCAACGTGGTATCTCAAATTTACCTATATAAAGTTAATAGAAAGAATCGCTAGAGATTGATCCAGGGTAACACAGAAGTTATACACGGACATAAAACTAATCGACAAAAACTAATCGACAATTAGACTTATCATTAGGTTTATTTTGCGAAAACTGAGTCATATTTATTGTACCAAGATGTATCCCATGGCTTTTAGGTGTTTGTCTCCATTATCTGGATTGATAACGGCCTCGTTACCACACGTGTTTGAGGCGTCAGGGTACCCTTCTGTGCCAAATCCGATCCTTGAGTCACACGAGCCACACCTATTCTTGTTTTCGCTAACAATACCAATTCTGGCTTTAGAATGTCCACTCCGACTACAAACGACATTAAACCCTTCTTTTTCGCAGTTGTACTGTAATGATCCTTGCGAACCAATCAACTCTTTCCACTTGTCACGACCCAGTAAGGTGGCGCGGTATTGCCCATCAGCGATCAGTGAAAACAGAGAGTCAGCTTGCTTGTGGATGACAATGAACCTGAGCTGATGTCCGATCTTCATGCTGAGACAGATCTTGAGGAAGGATGTGTTCCAGTAGGTGGGTACCTTTGATTCCTGTCCGTCGAACCCAGTCTCTCCTCCAGGAAGGTTGTATCCTTTATAATCACTCCAGTAAGGTGCATAATAGCGAAAAGTGGTCTGAAGAAGATTAAGATAATTCCGTCATTGTTTCTGTGATACTCATCACATAGACAAATTCAGTAATCCCTTAGTTTTTTTCGCATTTTAAAATGACGTCTGTTTCTATTGTCAGTTGACATCATCATCATTATTATCATCATTGTGTTTTTAATCAGTTATGTAAGATTTATGGTAACGAAAATAAATGAACTGGTATTGTCGTGTCTGTCCTTAGAATTGTCATCTGAACCTGTGTTTATCTAAAAGTTAGCAGCATCATTTTATTTTCATAAATAGGAAAAAAAAGAACATAAAAATACAGATATTAGTCTGTCATTTTGTCTTCGCTAGACCCATTGATGTTTCGAGCTCAGGGCTATCTGTATTCAATAATAAGTTCTGTATCGGAAACAACATGATTTCGAGTGCAATTTAGTGTAAGCACGAGTAAATTTTTCAAACTAAAATGCATGAACCTGAAGGGCGAGCGCGATTTGTAGTCTTTGAAAAATTTAAACGTGCTTATTATTACTAAACTGCACATGAAATCATGTTGTTAGTTGTTCATAATTTCCATGAAAAAATGTAGCACCGAAAGTCAAGACGGACGAAATTTTGGAAGCTCGCGCGCTATTCGTAATTTGCACTCGTGTTATAACTTTGCACTCGTGTTACATGAAAAATGCATTCGTTTTCAGCCAATCAGACGCGCGTAATTTTTTTTCAGGTATGTTATTAATAAAGAAACCAGAACGTGATGAAAGGTACCTTTCTGCCGTCAATCTTCATTTCATTTCATTTCATTTCATTTTATTTTTATTTAAACACGGTCAATTCATCAGCCTAAAAATACATACACTAGAATATTTAAAATTCAAACTATATAATATAACACTAAAAGCTGTTTTCCGTGAGTGCCGTGCGTTAGACCTAAAGAATAGAGACCTTAAGATTGAGGTTTTTCGGCATTTCCCGCGAACCGCGAACGTCAAGAAGTCACGTGACCAGAGCCTTGCCGTCAGGTTTGCGGTTTGAGGTTCACGTTTGTACGTCAAGACCACGCTCTAGAGGTAAGTGATTTACCGCAAGTTTTTTTGCACCCTAAAACATCACAATCCCACGTTTGAGAGGAAATACTACTGTTTAGAACTATTTCGCTTATTAATTATCGAATTCTTTTTATAGAAACGTGATTTTGAAGACGATTTCTCAGCTAAAATAGAAGTGAACAAACGAATGAAAACAAACATGGCAGCCGGCTATTTGTTGTTGGAACTGATTTGCCAGTCGGATTACTTTATGGTTAAACTACGATAAACAAATTACAACAAAAGCAGATTTCTGATGATATGTAAATGCATTCTTTGTTTCCTAGATGGCTCCGTTCAGATGGCCAAGCCTTAAAAATGACATTGCCCTGGCTAAAGAAGTTGCTTCCAGAAAGCCACAAACGCATCAGGAATGGAATGAATTAGCAACTATTCTCAGTGAAGTCTTTAGTTCCGACAGCAACAGAGTTGAACTAAAGGGGCGCGGATGCCGAGAAAGATTGACAAGGCATAATTCACCAGTGCTATCACACGCGGATCTTAAGTCCCAAATATGGGCAGACGGCTAACGTGAAACCGCTAACTGCAAACCGCGGTTTAGCGTTTGCGGTAAGATGGCCAAACCTCGATCTTAAGGTCTCTAATGTCATTGATCTTAAGTTTACATACCCCCAGAGACTCTGTGTTCCTTACATCGCATGGCAGACTGTTCCATAATGTGGCGCCATTGTAGCTAAAGCTTTTTCGGTAATAATTAGTGCGCGGTAAGGGAACATTGAGCTTATTTTCAGAGTCCCTGAGGTCATAAGCAGAGTCACGCCACGTAAACTTTGAACACAGATACTCTGGAGCTAGCCCGTGCAGACATCTAAACATCATGGTGGCTTTGTTAATTTCCTGCTGGCGTGTAAGATTTTTCCACCTTAAAAACTCGAGTAGCTCAGTTGCATCAGCATCATAGTTAGAGAATGTCAACACACAGGCTGCTCTATTCTGCAATTTCTGCAGTTTGTCTAGTAGCGTTTTCCCACAGTTACCCCAAACAATGTCACAGTAATCAAAGTGAGGTTTTACTAAGGCTTGATAAACGAGATGTAAGGTTGATGCTGGGATCAGGTGCCTAATTCGCTTTAGGGCCCCGATACCAGAGGCGATCTCTTTGGTTAATTTTTCGATGTGACTATGCCAATCGAGTTTATCGTCTATTATTACACCAAGCGATTTCGTAGCTGTAACCTGGCTCACTTGAGTATTGTTCATTGTAATTGTTGGTGAAGCTGTGAGAGTATTCAGTCTCTGCCTCGACCCTATTAGCATGAATTCGGTTTTGGTCATGTTCAATGTAAGTTTGTTTGCTTGTAGCCAGTTGAAAACGTTTGCTTGGTCTTCATTTAGACAAAACTGAACATTCTCAAGATTACTGCCCGCATATGTAAGGTGCGTGTCGTCAGCGTACATTCTTGGTTTACAATTTGATAAGCAATTTGGAAGATCGTTAATATATAATAAAAACAATAATGGACCGAGGATGGTCCCTTGAGGGACGCCGCATGTCAGTGAGTAGCTATTGGAAAGCGACCAGTTCACAGAGCATTTTTGTGTGCGGTTTTCTAGATATGACTGAAACCATTTGAAAGATTTGCCATGTATACCATAATAGTTTAGTTTCGATAGAAGAATCTGATGATCAACAGTGTCAAAAGCTTTCTTCAAATCCAGAAAAATCACTCCATTGATTTTCCTGTTATCAATATCATATGCCCAAGAATCTGTCGCTTCCAACAAAGCTGTTACAGTTGAATGATTAGCACGAAAACCTGACTGGTTTTGACATAGAATATCGTGCTCTTTCAAATAGGCATATAACTGTTCATAAACTATCCTTTCAAACGCCTTCGCCACTATTGGAATCACCGATATTGGGCGGTAATTGTTTAATTCATAACTGGCGTCTACCCTCAATATCCACATTCAATATCCCCCATGTGGCAGAGGACGGAGGCTGGTTTGGAGTCCAGACCGAGGGCAACAAGTCTACTGACATCAGATCTATCAAAAAAAAAAAATGATTTGATCGTTTTAATGTAATAAATCAATCCAGTCCCAGTATAGAAATCAACGGGTTTTTGCGCTTTCTAATGTGGAGATATTTCTCTGCCGCTAAAATGCCAGCCTTCTCTTTCTCGCTCCCTTACGATCGAATATGCGTCTAAACTTTTCTTTAGAATGTGTTGAAAGGAGTCAAATCTTGTTTTCAACAACATTGCACCAACTTTTGTTGCATATGTCTTTATAACTGGGTTTCCACGCTGAGTATTGTCATTCATACACGAGGGGTAGGGGGAGGGGGGCACTCGAATGGTGAAGATGACATCAATTGAATAAAGCAAGAATCATGATGATATGATAAATTTTGAGCTGAAGAAACAGAAACGTTCTTAAGAAGAAACCAACCTGTAGACTTCATACAGTTCCTTGCAAGAATTTACGACTTAGAAGAAAAAAAGAAATCTTGTTGGTTTATTAAATCACTTTCTCATTTACATCTAAATTCTCAGACTCCATTCACACCAAAGCGTTTCAGGCTGTTTTATTAAATACTGTTTAATTTTTTGTTTCTTCATAGAAGGTGCTCAAAATGATGTTTGTCGACTTCAAACGTAGCACACTGAAAATTCCAGTTAGTGACCACTTGAAACCCATGGAATTTCAGTTTTTCGGTTTTCTGTTTCTGATTCTCATTCAGTTAAACTTGGTTTGACTCAACATTTTTTTATGCTATATTTAACTCTATGTAATCCATCCCGCACCGTCATGACATCTACGGACTGTTAAATCCTCTTTCGGAGGTCAAAATATTTGAAGAAAATAATTAACGCTTGCGGTTCTCTGAAAAGTAAACCTTTTAAAAACATCCGTAGCGCTTTAAAACTTTTTCTGCTCTGAAAAAAAATCTTGTGCATTGAGGTCTTGAATATTGATCAAAATATTAAGTATAGGCCACACATTTAGATAATACTGATCGACTGGATCAACACTCGATCTGTCGCACTTTGTAATGATCATTGCATCATTGATAAATATGTCAATATTGCAAAGTACCGTGGGTGTTATTAAAAAGTGCGACCGCCAGTTTGATTCATCTTCGAGGAGCCAAAAGCACAAAATCGCGTCCCAGTAGTTTATTTTCGCACCATTATTCAGCATATTGACAGAAATAGATTACAAAAACAACTTACCCGGAGTACACATATCAATTACCTTTCTCGCAATATTCTCCAGCTAAACTTTGTTCACAGAGACAGTCGTAAGAATTGTATTGGAAACTCGGGATGCAGGTTCCTACGTTCTGACATGGCGAAGAAGAACAAGGAGACTTAACTAAAAAAAAATGATCGGTAAAACAATTGAATTCCTGAAAAATAGTTGAATGAAACTACAAGCTGTTTTAGTATTTGATAAATATGTGCCTACCTGAATAAACAAATGAAGTGAACTCGTGTTTTCTTGGTAGTTCGTGGAGTCTCTGTACTTATCAGAAGACAACAATTCACACCACAGCTTTCCATCTGCTCCTTTGAAGGCGGCCATATTTATTGAAAGGCACAAAACATTTTTTAAACATCGAAATGTGCAATCTAACAGGTCGTGCAGAGTGAATATTCCAACTCGTGTTACGTTCAGATAATGAAACTCTTCTTTTGAAAACAGAAGTTGTTCAAAGGACCGCATCATAGGACGCCATCCCAGTTCCAAACCTTTTATTCCTTATTCCTATCAAATAATTGCGGTTAAAATTTTCCTTGGGCAGCAAAACTTTTTTAGTCGTGTTTTCGATAGCCTATCTTACAAACTATGCCCCTCATTAGTTGCGGGATTTTGCTGCGTTCATCTTATAATTTTGTGAAAGACCCATTAAGATTGTTGAATTGGTTTAGTGTTTGAGTATTTGACGTTCTGTGTGAGATCTATACAAAATATTTGCGGACTTTTGTCGTCGTTGTGTGAGCTAACATTTTAAGGCATAGTTTTAGTCTTCATTTATATTTATTTCGGCCATTAACATCGATCTTTTGGACTCAAATTCCGACAGGACGGGTTTTATGAAATAAAAAACTTGTCAATCATTGAAATTGTTTTTTCTTCAGACAGTTGGTCGTTTTTCTACAAAGTAAGGAGATCTTCCCGGAAGATGCAAATTAGGAAATATTATAAAACGACTTTGATAATAAGAACATGACAAATTCTTGAACGCATTGCCTATACATTAAACTTTACTAAGACAACTTTTCTTCCAGTAATGTCTTAACGACTCAACTGAGTGTTGATATAGTGAGAGGTTTTCGATAATATTAACCGTTGGTAGCAAAATAATGCAGCCGTTAGGCGTAGAATTGATCGAACTGGAAGATGTTAACCGTAATTACCATTAATATCCAACACAGACTACGATGTTTGGGCAAAACAGTGAACGAGATGCTGGCGCTAAAAATCAATGAACTAAACCCGTAAGGCTGGTATGGGCGGGAAAGCGTTGACTTGCCCGAAACTGACTGAGCGACAGAGCGATCTGAAACCCGATACACTGAAACAGTTAAGACTAACTGATCAGGGGCGTGTTCTCTACGGTAATTACCTATCATCAGCCAGGGTGATCATTGTACCACTCCGTAAACAAAGTTAACTGTAAAAGTTCAATGTTTTAAATTTGGCAAAAAGAAATTAAATAGTAGCCTTAACAAAGCCAAAAATTTAACCATCAGCTATAAAAGCCATCACCCTACTGAGACCTACTGGTAAACAAAGTTATACGTTATCGCGAAAATTAGAAAAATCTTATCCGAAAACAATTTGCGATACAGGCAGCCCAAGCTTCAGCTGTAAGATGATCATGTTGTGAAATAACAGTCATGACGAAATTATAAGAGTTTGTATGGGAGTATTAACGACTGCACCAGGGAATACAAAAATAAGTCAAATTCTCAACAAAAATACCAGTCAACTTACTTCCGCAGTGTATCGCTTGATATGTGACCGCTTACTGCATTGAAAGAAACCCATTTTAGCGAGTTATCCATTTTGAGGTCTTCTACGTACATATGAAAAGTTTCTTAATGGGTTCCCTTCAACGTAGTAAGCAGTCAGATAACAAGCGATGCACTGTGGAAAAAAGGTGATTAATTTTAATTGAGAATTTGACTTACTTTTTCATTCCATAAAGCGGTCGTAAATATTCCCGAACAAAATCATATAACTTGGGCATTACTTTTTCTTCATAAAATGATCATCTCACAGCTAGAGCTTGGCCACCTGAGGTTCGCGACTAATAATATGGAGATCAAACGGAAATTGGAAGACATGAACGATGATTTATGCAGGAAACTATAGTGGTCATCCGTTAGGAGTGATAACTCCGGCATATAGGATTGGGGTCAATTTCCACTTCTTATTCCTAGAGCATTTGCGCACTACCGTGCGAAGAACTATTTGATATTCTGCTGATCGTGTTTCGGCCGGCTTGTTATAAATGTAAACAATTATCTCTTAAAACAACTTTGAATATATGATTATCATTACTGAGGAGTATCAGCGTAGGGAAACTATTCCTCGTGTTGCCGCATGCACCCAAAGTAATGATGAAACCAGGCGCTTTTCCTCTATCTTTGATACAATCAATATCAACTTGATTTGTTCAACTACATTGGACATGTATGTTCAACGTCTGTGCTACCGCACAAAAAAAATTGATGTAATTTCAAGGAAAACAGCTTTCAACAAGCGGTAGCTTAAATTTTTGCATGAACCTACTCACCCCGCTTATTGACCAGCATCTCAATGTTCGATAACAACGAAATCGAATGCTTTGAAAGACCGTTTAGAACATGGGTTCTAAATAGCTTTTAATCTGAGTCACATGAAGGAAAGCTAAAAAAAAAAATGATAGCCGTGAAATGGCCAAAAATTTAAATGTTTAGCGTAAAGAGCCATCACCCCAAGTTAGACTAGTTTAAAAAAATGGTCGGATGCAAAAATTCTCGAATTATTTTTTTTCAAAAAAATTAACAAATTTGAAACAGGGACGAGAATGGTGATGAAAATTAACATTCAGCAGACAATGCAAACAAAGTTTGGCTCAAAACAGAGGCCCCAAGAAAGTGCGTGGAAATGCGATTTACAAATACTTTTTCTCAACACTCACTGCTATGAATATTTCCGGTGAAATGTTTGTACAATGTGACTGATGTAAGATTACACAAACTGATTGAAATTTACTTTACATTCAAACGGTATAGTTGATTGTATGAAGATGAAAAATAGGTCTCGTATACAAGATATCTAATCGCTTGAAGATGTAATCGTTTTGGAATAAATTGAGACATAGTAGATCTACACTCGAGTCTACACATTTCATGTGTTTCCATTGTCTTATCGAAAGTTTCTAGAAAGTTGGAAAAAAAATATCAGACTTTGTGCCTCGTCAGCTGGTTGTCAGTAACTTTACTTAAGATCATATGACATAATAAGTACAAGAACTCAGTAATTTTACAAAGGATCATACGATATGGCCAGAACGATAGGTGGCCGCTAGTATTTCACTAACGCTCACATCATCTACAATGAGATCGCTCATCCTGAGTACTTTCACTGGACTAGTACAATTACTTATTTCCATTCTTTAAAAACACTTCTGCATTATTAATCCGTTGGATATTGTTCGTCGCCCTTCGAACAACCGAGACCTGATTTTTTGATCGCATAACCATTACTATTTAAAAACACTAGGCAAAATGCCAAATTTTAGCGCCAATTAAGTAAAATTAAACAGCTATTGAACCCAAAGACCAATTTAAGCCATGCTTTGAAGCTGTAATTTTGATAAACATTCAATACTCACAAAGTGTACTTGCATTTGATATTTACATTTGAGATTCAAACTTTTCATACAACATTCAAATTCGAGATTTACAGTCAGGATTGTATCTGCAGGATTTTCATTGGAGACTTGCATTGAGAATTTATTATGTTGACTTAAATTCGCGAGTGTTGTGAAGCTTTAAAGAGCAAGGAAGTCTTGTAAAATTCTCTCAGTTTCTTCGAATTCCAGTTGATGTATATCCCTGGTATATGCATATGGAAATTAGCGATGGATCTCTGCCCTTTAATAACCTAGGGGAGTATTGCGAGTTTAATGAGTTTCTCCACATTGCTCTTTCAGTCAAGCCAACTGAAATCTGGTCGCATCATTTATCATATCAGTTGTTTAGAAGCAGAATCCTATTGTAATCATTTTACAATTTATCTGAGTTTAGCACAGACGGGTTATGTAATTATTTAGGAATTTGGAAACACTAGTAATCACTCTAAGAAAAATAGCGGCATTCTAAGTTTTAAAAAAGGTTTCGTCAGGACGTGTAAGGTGCTCAAGACAACTGCGTGAACTTCAGGGACCGCATGGATAAGAGTGCTCTATTTGCTGTGCAACACTAGTTGCTACTATTTAGTTGTGTCTATTATTTGAGACGTTATCCTGACATGGGAAAATATGATTTTATTTAGAATTCGTAACTATTAATAGATCGAAAACATGCAAGACCTCTTGTAAACGCTGGAATTCATTAGCAAATTTCTCTAGACGCGTTCAGTGTCCTTTATTCTGTTCATATCTCCCCTCTAACTTGCTCTGCTTTAAAAAAAATGGATTCCATGTTACCGTGCACCTTTTCAATAACAAATCATAGCATGCACTACACAAGGTGCAGCTGAGTGAATCACTGATGTTTCATTAAATCTACCATTGAACGGACCCACGACGACTTTGAATCTACTTTTTCTATGTAATAAAGAAGCAAAAATGGTCAGTGGTGACGCTATCTATTCGTCTGTCTTCCAGTAGATCACTAGTAAGAAGTAATAAACTACATTTTGTAAACTTCTTCAAGAATAGTGTGACTAGAAAAATTGTCACCATCTGCTTAATATCATGTTTGACTGGCCCACTTGCTAGGAACCAACACTTTCATGCAACGAGACAAACATACTTTCGATGATTCTTTCATTTTTTATTTTTGTTTCGCGAGAACACTTCAGCTGAAAATCATTGCAAGAACAAAGACCCTTATCAAAATGATGGTACCCACACAGCTAACTGTTTTCTTTATCCTACTGTTTTTGCGGGTGTGAGGTACTCAACAGGTGATCGTTAAACCTTTTTGTCGATTTCTTGAGACCTTGCATTCAGCAACAAAAATAAAACTCTGTATTTATAGGAAGCCAAACTAGTCTGGTTTTTATGGAAACATGTACCAGCATTCAATTCCTTAAGTCAGCAGATTTACAAGTCATACCTTTTGACCCCTAAGACTAACTAGCAACTAATTCTTCAAGGTCATGCAAAGAAACAAAATGACTCCCAATAAGGGAGCCCTTTTAAAACAAATTCTCCATGCCAGTACTATTTAATTTGCAGAGAACAACATGAATAATATGCATACTGATGTTCGGGTGTAAAGGGTTAAATAAGTTTTCACTGTAATCTCAGATTCACTAAACCTGTTATCGGCAGATATGTTCTGGAGTGCCCAGGATGTGGTGTAATCTATCGTAGCCGTCAGAACTGGTTTGGAAATAAATACCCAGTTAAGACTGTGGTCCGGACTGAGCTTCGCCATGCATGGCCTGGGGTGAGGTTTAATGCTCGACTACTGAAGATAAATCCAGCCACTTTTTTCCCAATA